TATTGTTTCCCTTCCAATGAAATAAGTAATTCACAAATATTTTGAACATTTGATATACTTCTGTTTCAAACACAGTGGGGTATTAAAAGATATCTAGTTTTTGCTTATGAAGAGGTTATGATCTATTTGCAGAAGCAGGTTATAAGTGTTAAACCAATGATACTCAGTTTTCTGACATGGGAACCACATGACACTGAAAATTCTGGAGGATTGGTGTGATGTAATACTTTATGACCCCAAAGTTTATTAGAACTTTTGAAGAACTTTGAGGTATAGATTATGATAGATCTGCATGCTCTGAGGCTTGAGAGCTTTTTCTCAGTGTCACTCGGTTGGTACTGAGCCCTGAGTGGTCATGAGCGGATGTAGCCTTGAGTGTTCTGTAAGTGAAGAGGAAGAAGTAACCAATGTGGAAAACCCCACGTGACTTTTTAATGGCTACAAGCTGGGTTAAAAGATGAGGACAAGAGAAACAGCAAGGGCTTTCCAGACCTTAGGAATGGTGAAATCAGTTGACTCTGCGAATGTTGTGATGTATATGGAAGAGAATAGGTGGGCTGTTTGGACCTGAACTCACAGGAATGAAATGGAAGTATTAAGGAAGGAACTACAGTGTAGGAACTGCAATCCTAGTGTCTTTCTTTTACTCTGATGTTAAATACTTCAGTTTTAGTTTTAGTCCTTTAGTCCTCTAGTCTTTAGAACACATATGGCAATGCCATGGACTGTAGCCCATCAGGCTCCTCTGTTCATGGAATTCTCCAGGCAATTATAAGAAAAGTTGCTGGTTGATGTATTGTTAACAATTAATGCAGTTGTCAAAATTGCCTAACCTTAGGCATAAGAAGAACTTAGTGGAAGATTCTTGCAGGCTAGTAAATTTATTCAGATGTTCTCAATTAAACAAATAGACGTTTGTTATTGTTTCCCTTCCAATGAAATAAGTAATTCACAAATATTTTGAACATTTGATATACTTCTGTTTCAAACACAGTGGGGTATTAAAAGATATCTAGTTTTTGCTTATGAAGAGGTTATGATCTATTTGCAGAAGCAGGTTATAAGTCTTAAACCAATGATACTCAGTTTTCTGACATGGGAACCACATGACACTGAAAATTCTGGAGGATTGGTGTGATGTAATACTTTATGACCCCAAAGTTTATTAGAACTTTTGAAGAACTTTGAGGTATAGATTATGATAGATCTGCATGCTCTGAGGCTTGAGAGCTTTTTCTCAGTGTCACTCGGTTGGTACTGAGCCCTGAGTGGTCATGAGCGGATGTAGCCTTGAGTGTTCTGTAAGTGAAGAGGAAGAAGTAACCAATGTGGAAAACCCCACGTGACTTTTTAATGGCTACAAGCTGGGTTAAAAGATGAGGACAAGAGAAACAGCAAGGGCTTTCCAGACCTTAGGAATGGTGAAATCAGTTGACTCTGCGAATGTTGTGATGTATATGGAAGAGAATAGGTGGGCTGTTTGGACCTGAACTCACAGGAATGAAATGGAAGTATTAAGGAAGGAACTACAGTGTAGGAACTGCAATCCTAGTGTCTTTCTTTTACTCTGATGTTAAATACTTCAGTTTTAGTTTTAGTCCTTTAGTCCTCTAGTCTTTAGAACACATATGGCAATGCCATGGACTGTAGCCCATCAGGCTCCTCTGTTCATGGAATTCTCCAGGCAAGAATACTGGAGTGGGCTGCCGTTCCCTTCTTCAGAGGGTCTTCCCAACCCAGAGATCAAACCCAGGTCTTCTGCATTGCAGTCAGACACTTTACTGTCTTGAGCCAGTGTGTGTGTGTGTGTGTATATATATATAGCTTAGAGAATTTTCAGAGCTTAGAGAATGTTAAGAATACACTTGAAGATTTATAAGGAATGATTAAGAGAGTCTCAAAAGTCAGCGTTAGTAATGCTGACATTATTGTCATGCTTCTGTTTCTCCTCTGGCCTTAGTAGTAGTGTTAGTCGCTCAGTCATGTCCGACTCTTTACGACCCCGCAGACTGTAGCCCACCAGACTCCTCTGTCCATGGGATTCTCCAGGCAAGAATACTGAAGTGGGTTGCCATTCCCTTCTCCAGGGGATCTTCCCAACCCAGGGATCAAACCCAGGTCTCCTGCACTGCAAGCAGCTCTGGCCTTAAGTAGTATCTATTATTTTTTCTGTCTACAGCCTGTAAAGCACCAGGAATATGAAAAAACATAAAGCACAATAAACATTTGTTGAATTAATGCATCTTTCTTGAGAGCAGAGACTATATTTCTTCTTTTTTTGTCATTCTCTATGACTCCTATATGTTGTTTTACATGCAGTGGACTAACTATAAAGTACTGAAAATGTTTATATTGTTGAGAAACAAGCATGACTGAAGCCAATATTGCTTGGTCAAACTGTCTCATGCATTCTTTCATTCATTCAGCCATTCAGTCATGAGTACATTCACAGAAACTGTACTAAGGACTATTAGTCTGATGGTGATTTTATGCCTTTCCTGGTGGATCAGTGGTAAGGAATCTGCCTGCCAATGCAGGAGATGTGGGTTTGATCCCTGGGTTTGGGAAGATCACTTGGACAAGTAAATGGCAACACACTCCAGTATTCTTGTCTGAAAAATTCCATGGACAGAGGAGGCTGGCTGGTTACAGTCCATGGGGTTGCAAAGAGTTGGACATGACTTAGCAACTAAACAGGCTGTCCGACTCTTATTGATCCTTCAACTCTTAACTCTCTTGTTTCCTTCTCCAGTGTGTGAAAGTGAAAAGTGAAAGTGAAGTTGATCAGTTGTGTCCAACTCTTAGCGACCCCATGGACTGCAGCCCACCAGGCTCCTCCATCCATGGGATTTTCCAGGCAAGAGTACTGGAGTGGGGTGCCATTGCCTTCTCTGGGAATCCACTAGTATGTCCTTATTTATTTGATTGTGAGCTTTTTTTTTTTTAAGGCTTTTATACATTTATATTTGATTGTGAGCTTTCAGTCACCACCAGACATTTTTGAGAAAAAATAGAATCTATATTTAAGGTAAAGTTTACTTTATAATCAGACATGTGCCTTTATGTGTTTGGAGGTTCGAGACAACTCAAAAGTCTTGGATTGGGTAAAGGCAATGATGTCATTTCATCTTTAGAACACTATTTGGAAGAGAAGTTGAAACAAATGCAAAATGAGGGGGAAGGCTTAGCACAAGTGGATTTTTGTCTCATGAGATTTGCTGAAATGTATTATTTTTTCTAGAGATGCCTTAGGCCCAGGTTATGCTTGTTTTAATTTTCTCCATACCCTTCACAGGTTACTTTGCATATTAGTAAGTATAAGTTGACTTGAACTGAATTTATCTTTTTTGGACCCACCTGCAGTCAACTGGCACCCCCAAAGGCATGAGGATAGAGCATTCCTTTTCAATAATTAATCTGTGGAACAATTTCCCATTCTATATAACTCCTGGAATTCTCACAAATTGTCACATAGGATGGAAAACAGCTGGATATTAAAGCAGGACATTACAGACCCAATAAGCCAACCTTATCAGCTTTCTTTTCCCTTCACTCCAAAGTATCAGGAGTGACAATTTCAGGAATTATGCATAAACTCAAAGCCACATCCTACTGTTAAATTCTTGGCATTATTTGGGTCAAGATTTTGTCTCTTTTTAAATTCCAAATGTCCTTTATTTCCTTTTGAATTATGTTATTTCTAACAAATCTTTTGGTCTTTTGTTTTTGGCTGTGCTGGGTCTTCACTGCTGCTCGCAGGCTTTCTCTGGCTGCAGCGAGAGGTGGCTGCTCTTCGCTGTGGCTCACAGGCCTCTCATCGTGGTGGCTCCTCTTGTTGGGGAGCTCTGGCTGTAGGCACTCTGGCTCAGGGGGTGCAGCCTGCAGACCCTAGAGCGCAGGCTCAGCACTTGTGGCCCACTGGCTTAGTTGCTCTGTGGCATGTGGAATCTTCCCAGACTAGGGATCGAAGCTCTGTCCCCTGCATTGGCAGGAGGACTTCTATCCACTACTCCACCAGGGAAGTCCAAGAATTTGTCTCTTACGTGGTGTGTTTACATATGGATGAAAGTAGTGAAGTCATTTTCATTGAGAGCATTACCAATTAGAGCCTGAAGGCTATGAAGGTGATTGTTATTATCACTCAATCAAGAGAAACAATTGACTTAGAAGGTGAGTGGTAAAACAATATAGAGTCAGTGTTTCATGAGTGTATTTACACACTGCTGTATTCAAAACGGATAACCAACAAGGACTGTATAGTACAGAACATGGAACTCTGCTGAATGTTATGTGGCAGCCTGGTTGCAGGGGGCTGTTGGGGAGAATGGAAAATGTATATGTATGGCTGAGTTCTTTTGTTGTTCACCTGAAACTATCACAACATTGTTAATTGATTATTTGTTGTTGTTGTTCAGTCACTAAGTCGTGTCTGACTCTTTGCAACCCCACAGACTGCAGCATGTCAGGCCTCCCTGTCCCTCACTATCTGCTGGAGTTTGCCCACGTTCATATCCACGAGTCAGTGATGCTATCCAACCATCTCATCCTCTGATACCCCAAAACAAAATAAAATGTTCAAAAGGAAAAATTAAGTTTAAAAAAGACATAGGACATTAAATCAAAAGTAAACCCAACTGAAAATTGGTAGTTTTAAAATTTTATACTCATATAATTTGTGGAATAATTGTTGATGCATATGATTAGCCAAAAATTGAAAAACAAATGCAAAGATCAAATTCCTACCTCCACTCCCTAATCCCAAAGAAGGGAGTTGAAAAACTAACTTACACATTTTTCTGTGTTGACTTATTTAAAGCATAGCTACCCTAAATGGTTATAAATTTCTACATATATAGGTGTTAGCAGATATTTTTATATGGGCAAATCCTGAATAGGAGGGAAAAGTAATTTCAACTTTGGGCATACAACTAGCAAATTTAAGAATAGGAGTTTTCTTTTCAGCTTTTTCCTAAAAATAACACCATGACCTTTCATTTCAGGTAGCAGGATGAAGTGACTGCTAGAGCCTGACTTCCTACTATGAAAAAGGTAAGGTATGGAAGAAAGGAACAATCCTAGTGGAAAGCCTAGCATAAGATCACATATTGACCGAATCTTACTGTTGAGTATTTACACTTGTAGATTAGATTTTACTCAACATAAATAGATTAAAAATATGTGCTTTTAACTTCAGCTTCTTTTTTTTTTCTGAAAAATAAAAGGCAAAGCATCTATCCTATGAGATGTATCAACTTAAATAGTGTTTGCTAAGTACTGGCCTCTCTAGAGTTTATTTAATGTGGTTCATCTTCTGGAAGTTGCAGGGTAATGAAGAAGAGTCATACAGGAAGTAGTGACAAGTTCAGTGTTATCTTTAGGAAAAGTTCCATGAAACAAAGAAAGCCATTTTTAAACTGTCTTAGAATAGGTTTTTTTAAAGCTAGTTTAAGATCATATAATAAAGCATGCCTATTATTTACAGTTATTCCTTTAATAATAATTTTCACACATGTTTTGGTGATTAACAATACTACTGATATGATTCCCTAAAAGTCTCATGAGTTTTATGTAAAGTTGTTAGATTTGTTGTTTTTTTTTTTTCTCTTAAGGCTTGGAACAGATATTTAAAGACTTGTGCAAAGCCACATAAACCAGTTAGAGACAGAACTGATGTTAAGGGCAGGTTTACTGACTTTAGCTCCGTCTCCATTGTTTTGTTTTGTTTTTCTCATTACTTCATCCTATCTTATTTAATTTACTGTGGGAAAATATATTCTGAGAAAGATAAACATAAATGGAAAAGAGTAATGTGGATTCTGACTTACGGATGTTGTTTTAGTAATCTTCAGCGTCTTGGTTTCTTTCATCCCCAGGCTGTTAATGTCCTGCAGTGGATGCTAACATGCAGCTGTGTGGTTCCAGGCTTGGGCTCAGGAGGCAGGGTTTGGGCAGGGCTGGTGCTTCTCCTCACTAAACGTGAGAGTTTATGTCTCAGCTGCTCCTTTGGAAAATGCAGAGTGTAGCAAAACCTACCTTTGGGGTAGATTGTGAGAATTCAATGAAGTATTGTTTATTTAAAGTGTTTGTAATAGTGTTGATACGTATAGTAAGTGCTCCCCAAATGTTAAATACTATTATATTTACTTTAATTTTAAGTGTTATCAAGGAAAATGAAATATTTATTTTCCCCAATCAAAATACTAAAAAATCAGGGACCAGGAGAAATTCAGTTTTGGAAAAAATGCTTCTCAGTGCTCCAGTGATCTTGCTCATAAGCCTTGTTAGCTCCTGATAAGGGCCAATAAATGAGAAACAGAAGGATAATGTTTTCAATTAGTAAAAACTTCATAAGTGAGGTTAATTAGCAGCTTAGTCACTAAATTAAATTATCACGCTTTGAAACTCAGGCTTTATTCTGGAAAAAAAAAATTTGTTAAATAGACTAAGAAGTCCCTTTAGATGTGGCATTAGTCCTCAGGATAGAAGCTTTGTGATGAATTCTAGGTAAGTGAATTTAAGATGTGGATTAAATATTCACTAAGTATGTGAGTTTAAAAATTATGAAAGTCTTGAGAATTTGTCTTAGAAAATCTGCCAAAAATAAGTACTATAAAAGTAATAGTTTAATTTTTGGCTCTGATTATAGAAACTGGCAGCTTCTTTTTTTCTCATCCAGTTTAATATATATAACTAGTAAAGTTGGAAAAATATTTTTGATCATGTGGTCTTAAGCTTTACAAAATTCTAATCTAGCACCTTATTGCACAAATGGAATCTATAAAACCCAAAAGGAGCACCTATGGTGTTGTAAGAACGAGGGGCTGGAGCTGGACTCACTGTTTCTGCAAAACTCACCACTCCTGCAAAACTCATGAGTGTGCCTCTTCTGTTTTTGTTGTTGAACTTCCCCGATCAGGGTTTGAACCTGCATGCCCTGCAGAGGAAGCATGGTCTTAGCCACTGGACCACTGGGAAAGTCCCACGTACCTCTCCTTAACTGGTGAGGAAACTGACTCCATAGACTGTGTGTGCCTTGCTCAAAGACACTCCCAGATGGACAGTGGCAGAGCCAGTTCTTGAATACATACCTTCTCCTCTTCTGCTCTTTTGATTGTACCATATATCCTTCCTAGCAAAGAATCTATAAATTAGAGCCCTTTAACAGTCCAGATTCTTTTCTCTTCTCCACTTTTATTACAGAGGTATACCTGACAGAAAGTCCATTTAGCTTGATATCAGCATGATGGACATGCCCTTGGATCAGTGCAAATCCTCCCAATGTTTAACTGATTAACTCATTAATCGTCTTGACCACCTGCTCTGTGCACCTACTAGACACCATGTTGCTCCCTGGGAATATCAAGCTGATGGCACTGCTATCATTTTCCTCATAGCTATAAGAGGAATATACAGAGAGATACATGAACAAATACTATGTATCTTGAAGTGGCTTAACTAGGAAGTGAAAATTGTGTGAAAATGTTAATTCCTTAAGCATTAAATATTTATCATTATATAATGCTCTGTTCATGGTAAATGAAATCCTTATGTACTAGAATGGCAGGATATTAACTACTTTTTATTTAGACTTAAAATATTATTTATTCATTTGGCTGTATTGGGGTCTTAGTTGTGACACAAAGGATTTTTGTTGTGGTGCACAGATTCTCTAGTTGTGGTGCCTTGGCTCACTTATTGCTACTTTTCAGAAGCCTTCTACAATACAAATCCTTCAATGTCTTTGGGAAATGGGGAAAGACAATAGTTTTAGAAATTTCTGCTGACCTTTAAAAAGAGAAGATGAATACCCACAAGTGGTTTGACAATTGACAAGCTCAGGAAAATGTTCTTGGGAATGTGCAATAATGGTTTGTTCAGATTGACCCATCCTGAATCAGAAAGGGCTTTTGCAGATCCACAGTTATTTCAGCTGTCAACCCACAGGATGCCAAGCACTGAAGCATGCTCTGTGAGTGTCAGGGATTTCTCTGGCTTGTGAGCAGAAGAAATAGCTAACTTTGTTCCATTCTATTATATCCAGACTGTTTGTACAGTGAACAGCCTTAAAAATGGAGATACTGTCTCCCTTCAGAGCAAAGAGCAGGCATGCTTACTGCCCAGTATAAAAGATTCAGGTTCCCTAAACTCAGGGTCCCTCTCCTATAAAGCTTATTATATATGTCCAGGTGTCACCTGACCTTCTATACTGATCTTCTGGCTACCATTAGTGNAGGAAATGGCAACCCACTCCAGTGTTCTTGCCTGGAGAATCCCAGGGACGGGGGAGCCTGATGGGCTGCTGTCTATGGGGTCGCACAGAGTTGGACATGACTGAAGTGACTTAGCAGCAGCAGCAATGATGCCCAAAGACTCTGAGGTTCACTTCTGTACATGACTCATTTTGTTTATACTATCTTCAGAGTTTGTTTCGTTGGTTTTTTGTGCCATGTCACGAAGCATGTGGAATCTTATTAATAGTTTCCCAATCAAGGATTGAACCTGTGCTCCCTGCAGAAAAAGCACGGAGTCCCAACCAATGGACAGCCAGGGAAATTCTTGTCTTCAGGGTCTGGACCTCAGTTTGGTACCATTAACTTATGGTTCACTTATTCTTCCTCAGTTCTACCCTCTCCCTTCAAACTTCTCAATAAGTCACCCATTTGATTCTGGTTGCTGGTCAACCCTGATGCCTTGCAGAAGCTCAGTAAACATTTGTAGAATTATTCAATGAAGGCATTGGATCTTTTTTATTTGAGTCTTAACCAGTGCTCTTCAATCTAACCAGTTCCTTGATTTCCAATAAAATAATACATGGAGAGAGGGTAATAATGCCACAAATCATATGATAATAACAACATTGGCTGAGAGCTTATGATACTGTGCCAAGTGCTTTAGATATTAATATATAGCCTTATTTAATCTCCACAAAGTTACTGTATTATTATCAATACATCAATTATTTATTTTATTGATTTAAAAAATGGGCACAACAGAGAAAGTTTGTAATTTTTCTAAAGTCACGCAGTGACAGAACTGAGATTCTTTTCTACCTTCTAAAAGAGCCAGGGGCATCTGGTGCACATATTCTATGGTTGAAGAGGAGAACTGAACTTTTACTTTTGGCCAAAGCTGATATAAATCAGCCATAAAATTGTCTTCTTTGTCACAGGATCAGGTAAAAGATCAGAGCCAAACTAGAAAAGCTGACCTTTGTTGAAAGCAAGCTGTGTGTATTCTCACCCAACTGCTCATTTACACAGCTCCCTTGCATATTAGTTGGATGATTAAAAAGAATAAAAATTTCTCTATGAAAATTTCTATGGTACATTCCATGGTGGTGTACTTCTGGCTATAATGAAAGGTATTGGTATTTTTCCTTTGCCTTATCAGAATTCTTCCTAACTGAATGGCCTGTGGCACAAACTTACTTTCCCAGCTCTATTATGTGAGTGGGTGCTGAATAATTTATTTCATATTATTTGAGGTCTTGTGAGTATTATTAGAATGAGAGGAAACCATGAAAATTATGGGTTCTTGGTTCACTACTTTAACAAATATTTACTGAGGGCCAACAAAAGCAATATTTACGGCATGAGCGGAAAACAAAAAGACACAGTCCTCGCCTCCTCAGACTTAGTTGTTGAAGGTTTGGTTTGATTGTTTATATCAAAGAGCCTTGCAAATGAATATAAAAATAAAGCTGGGATAGGTACTTAGAAGGAAAGTACATAGTAGTTTAACTGTAAGCATTAGGGGGAGTGAATTAAGTTGGGGTGGTCAGGTAGTGTCTTTCTGAAGAAATGAAGGCTGAGCCAGGGTCGAGTACAGTTGTCACCCAGATGGAAGGAAACCAGTGATGGGAATATGAAACAACACGGTATAGTTCAGCTTACTGAGTATTTACAGAATGCCCACCATATACCAGACATTATGCTTAGATGTTGGGAAGTAAAAAATGAATGGGTTTTGCCCCAGTCGATAACTCACTATCCGGGTTTCATCTTCAGGTAGTTGAGAAATTAGGAGAGTCACATCGTTTGTGATTTTTT